AGTATATATGTATATATATTGGACTGGATGTAAGATTGTAAGACTTGGTAAGATGGGCAATATTTGCAGTGTATGTTCTGATGTGATTAAAATATGGGTTTATGAGATTTACAAATTACTGCATTATATTCTTATTTACATTTTACACATTAAAACACTATTAGATTTGAGGGTGTACATTAAAGTGCACAATAAATACACATGTTTAAATGTTATTAGGTATTCTGTGAATATAAACAGGGTTTTGTTTAAACAGTTGACTCATTCTGAAGGGGAATTCATCTGTTTAATGCACCTTTAGCCACTGACCTCTGGATCAAGACCAGCAGAACCAGTCAGCTAACTAGCCAGATGATCCGACAACTCACTGAACAGCAAGTCAAACTGTTACAGTTACTGCACCTCCTGATTTTCCCCTTGGGGTCTCGGAAGGTCACACTTGTGAGTCTGGGCAGTATGTTCTTATTAGCAGAGTTCTGACGCCTGGGAAGCTTTCCGTGTTGCACACAAACCAAAACATTTTCCCCAAGGGGGCGTGGGGTCTTTGCATGCCCTGCAGATGTTTCTGTGTGCATTAGTACTGCACATGTTGTATGGTACATGCATGGATGTGCTGCAAGTGTGACTAAAAGTGTCAAGAGTATTTGTGTGCATCCCAAACTCATGCCCCACAGTGTGTGTCTGTTTTCATGAACATGTGCTTCAACGGGTATAGGCTGTGGCATCCAAGAGGAAGTCTTCACGCCTGAGTTGTGCTTTGTGTGTGTTGATTTTGTTTTATTTATTTTCCAGAGTGCTGGGGTAAAGTGCAGCTGGTGGGGCGTTAATAGAGTAAGCAGTGGGGTTGGATTAGCTGACTCGGCTTCCTCTGTTGAATCTGTTTGAATGTGGCCTCACTCTCTCAAACGCACTAATCCTAATTATGTTGCTCCATTTCTTTTAGGCCGTTATATAAACAAAAAGTAAAAGAAGAATAGACAATAAGAACAAAAAGCCAGAGGATCATTGGATGGATGATTCACTGAATGGATCAATCAAATCTTTGAAATGCGGTTCTGGAGTAATGTGAAGAGCAAATAAAGTCTTGTAGGGAACTGAACTGTCTCTAAGCTACAAGATTATCTTAACGGTACAAAAACCAAAAGATCTAAAAAATTTAGACTAATGTGAATTGATTTCTTTGTTTGTTTGTTTTATACAAGTTCAAATAACTGATAACTGTAGCACTTCCAGTGCAGGTGTGAGCCCTTCTGACAGTAATTTCAACACTCACAAAAAGTAATAGATGTGAGATTCTGTTGATCAATTGATAGATGTTGTCTCGGTCTTATAATGTCAAAATGTGAACAGCATAATGACAGCTGTTTAAAAATAAATTCTGCTTAAACCAGGAAATTTTTTGGTCGATTTATGGACCAGAACCATGCAGGAATTTTTGGCATTAGAAGGGCGGGTTGTGCATTGACAGCAATGGCAGTTTTTGAGTTTTCTGTGGTTTTTTTCTTGTGATGGTTGTAACTAAAGCTGGGTGGCATACCAGTTTGTACCAAAAAACTTTTTTTTTTTTGCTATTTTTAATTTTTGGTATGATACGAATTTTCTGAATACTGGCATACTGGTTTAAATAGCCTGAACACCTCTGGAGCATTACACCGCACCAACCAGTAAACTGTTTCAAGAGGGACCCTTTTCCTGCTGCATAATTAAGCCTAACAATGATCTTTACTTAGTACAACCCTCCTCCACCATGACTGCCCATGCCCCCATGTGCCCCACTGCTCATGTGATGTAAGCCCAAAATGCACGACTAATGTCTACGACCAGGGAAAGAAGAAAAGACAGAGGAGGGGAAATGTGACACATATTGCACAGACAGAGGTACAATAAAAACAAATGTCAGGAAATATTTTTTGTGTTGCAGAAAGCGAGTACTTTCAGCTGACCACAGTTTACTGAAAAATAGCATCCTGCAGCAGCCTGAGCGCTGATGAAAAGAAAAATGTATTTTTACAGTGGTACATTAATGTGGCCCGAACAGTTTCAGAGAACAGTTTCAGGATTAACGTGCTGACGTGCTGCTCTCACTCAAGCTGCTGCTGAGTTGCAGGACTCTTGTCTTTTGTTATATTGCTGAGAACAAAATCCGGTCATGTACGTCTTTTTAAGGTTCAAGTTTCAAAATTATCTGAGTCTTACGGTTTTTGTATCGAAGTGTTGGATAATTTCAGTCGGTATTTGTTCCAATAAAATTTATTTCCTCCTCTGCACGTAAATCTGCAACGCAATCTTGTGTTTGATTTAAGAAACCAGCGGCTGGTTGGTTTCCAAAGGCGTCAGTCAGAACTACGCTGGCCCACCTTCTCAGGAGTGGGCTTTACTTTTTCCTGTCACTACCTGGCTTGGAGTATCAGAGGCATGACAGACAATGATGAGGCCATTTTACGACATATTGGGCTGAAATTTTGTCTGGTGGCAGCTAAGAACGATCTCCATCACATTCAGAAATCAAAAATTCAAGATGGCCACCATAGCTAAAATGTAAAATATGCAAGCCCTGTCTTAGTTTCTCCAGGAACTATTCTAGTTTTTAATACAACTGCCATTTCATATTTTACAGTTCCTTGTTGTTCAATTACATGCCAGCAGAACATAGACTAGATTACATGTTTTTGTATTAATCAACAGAAATGGACTTACAAACTGGGTACACGGCCAAAATGAGGATGTTGGAGCAGAGGAGTTCAAGCAAAATCTAATCTTTACTGACAAAACAAAAAGCACACAAAGCAACACTATAAGCAATAAAAACAAACCAGACACAGGAGCATACGAAATCCAAGAAAAAAACGAAATGTGGCAGCAACAGGGAACCAGAAAACACAGAACAAACCAGAGCTGGGGAACTGTTGGAGTTGACAATGATCTAAGGAACAGAGGACACTAAAGACGCTGGGATGGATGATTACTGGAACAAGGAACAGCTGAGCTAATTACAGATTGCAGACAGGTGGGAACATTGCTGAAAACAAGTCTCACTGAGGATAACATGAGTAGAAACCTGAGAAATGAAACAAACCTAGAACATAAAAACCAGTCAAGTAATGATAAACATACGTAATTAAAACAAGACTGCAAAGAAAACATTTAAGGTAAGCAGGAATACTAAAATTCACAAGACAGAAAATATTCAAACTTTAACAAGATTACAATAACAGCCATTTTAAGACATATTGGGCTGAAATTGTGTGTGGTGGTAGCTGAAAACACTCCTCATCACATGCTGAAGCCAAAATAAAAATCCAAGTCGACTTTCATGGCTAAAATATAAAATTGACTATATTTCATCATTTTTAGTCATAATAGGCTGACATTTGGTGGGTTTTTGGCTGAGTTAACCTAACTAACCGCTGATGCAAATTTTAGTAAAAGCTATGATTTAGCTATATTTTTAGACATGCAAAAGGTAAAAACTGGTATTGCAGCAGTCGAGAACAAACTTCGATAAACTCTGAATGCTAGATTAAAATTCAAGATGGCTGCTAGGGCTAATTTAAAACTACAAGAACTTGGCCAAGAAATTTGGTGTGGTGTGAGCTTGGAGCAATCCCCTTCACACACTGAATCCAAATCATAAATCCAAGATGGCCGCAATAGCTAACATGTAAAATTAACCATATTCAGTAATTTTTAAACATAATTTGCTAAAATTTGGTGTAGTGTTAGCTGAGAGCTAACCTAGCACATTCTGAAAGCTAATCACAAGATTAAGCTAACTACTAATGTTAATTTTAAAAGATGCTATAAATGCTATAATTCAGCTGGTGTATAGAAAGTTTGAAAATGGTAGTAGCTGAGAACAAGCTTTAGCAAATAATAAATGCCTATCACCCACTTTGGATGTTATCATCCTTGAAATGGACGTAATTAGCGTTATCAGTCCCCTAGAATGGCTTCAGAATGTCCCGCCTGTGTCTGTTAGCAGGTTCCCCATCCCAATGAATGGCTTCCGATTGTCAGCTGGTTACTATGAGGCATAAAGCCTCTATCTGGTTAATATGAGGCATAAAACCACTATCTGGATAATATGAGGCATAAAACCACTGGTTAACATGAGGCATAAAAAATCTGGTTAATATGAGGCTTAAAGCCACCAAGGTTAACCCTAGAGCAGATGACATGGTTAGCACTAACCTCTGACGAATGAATGTTGTGGCCTCTCAATAGGGCAATGGGTAGAGTGTCAGACCAGGGTTCGAGCCCGACCTGGACACAAAAAAATTTATTACAATATTTACACATTAATTCATTGTCATTAATATATTAACCCACTAGGGGGCACTGTTGGGACAGTCTGAAGCCTAGGAGGCACAGTAGGGACCCTCTGAAGCCATTGTATGGGACTGATAATGCCTAATAACGTCCATTTCATGGACTGATAACATCAGAATCCCCTGTGCTTATTTAAAAATCAAGATGGAGCTAATTTTAAACTGCAATGTCTTGGACATTTTAAGACATATCGACCTGAAAATTGGTGTGGTGATAGCTGAGAACAATCCCTATCACAAACTGAAGCTAAATCAAAAATTCAAGGAGGATACCATAGGAATTACTGTCCGTAACATAGGCATTTTTATACACATTGAGCTAAAATTTGGTAAGCTGGTAGCCAAGAGAAATTCCCAGAGACTAATTTCAAAATATATTCCCACCCTTAGAGGTAAGCCCTTTCATAGTTTTTCAATGATTTATTCTAGTTATTATTATTGTGTCTCCTCTTGCTTGCTTTATAGATGCTGATTGGTCCAGTCAGAATTAAACTCTTGCTCCAGTCTAATTTCTCAATAAGCAGTCTACAACAGGTAAGATATTGTTTCCCAACAGAATCCCATTATTTAAATTATCTGACATATGCTGTTGAAATGTTCCATTTAAAATCTTTGAGCTCAAGAGTCAAAACAAGTGTTCACTAAAAGTTTTTTTTCTTAATTCATATGAGTAGCTGTGATCTACCACTCCACTTTCCTTCACTCCAGGGATTGAAAATGACATTAAAAAAATAAAAGGAAAACCATGGTGGGATTTAAAACAGAGACAGCCTTTCCGCTTTTTGCAAAGAACCCATTTTGTGTCGTCATGTTGAGCTCTCAATTAAACAAAAGCCCACCTTTAGGTTTGTGCAGTAGGTTCCACTGAAGTAGAATTTACATTGACAGTTTCTCTGACATGCCTGGCAAGATCTTCAGCAGCACGGCGTAAGCATCTCTCGCTCAGGGCAACACTCGGAGCTATGAGTCATGGTAAATTGTTCAGCCTGAATAAATATAGATAAAAAGTAACATCAAACGCGTCAAAACCATTTTTGATCCATTTTTAGTCCATGGAGAGCTTGGTAAAATATGAACTGCATACATTTTGATGTGTGGCGTAGTACTTACAGATAAATATATGGACTGCTCAATCTTACCTCATAGTTATGTACATGTTTTCCACATTCTGCTGTCTCTATCCAAATTTGTTTTATCACATTCCAGTCAAGCTGCAGTCTTATGCATGCTTAAACACTTTGTTCACTCACCTGACATTAAATATTCTTCAACCTTTTATCCTCTTAGAAAAGTCTGAAATAGTACAATAAGATGGGTGGGGAGGCGTAAAAGAACAAGGAGCTGAGAGAAAAAAACACAAGTTAGAAGAACTTATTGGAAGATAATGGCAAAAATGAAGGTGTGAGACAGAAAACAGATGTGAAATGAAGGGTGGAAGAAAATGACAAGCAAGGGCAAACAGGCAAAAAGAAGGGCAGAGGAAGGATGGATGAAGGTTGTTGACAGTAAAAATACAAGGAATGGGTCAGAGAGCAAAAGGGGTATTACTGCAAGTGGCAGAAAATAAAAGAGCACAAGCTAGATTAACAAGGAAAATGCTCTCAATTATTACCAGCAGGCAAAATGTGAACATGGACATTAATGTTTGTGTGTGTGTATGTGTGTGTGTGTGTGTGT